TATATATTAAAGTTGCAATGATGATGCATAAAAACTAATGAAGGTTTGGTAATGAAATAATATATAATGTAATATACATATTGTATATATATAGCGATATAATACACTAAAAATGTAAATAAGTAGACGTTGTGGTTCCTTTTATTTCGTCCTATAGTAAATACAATTACTTAATACTGAACTTAACTGAAAACATTAATTTTTTTAATTCAATAAATGTATCCAGGTTATTGAAGTAAAAAAGAATATATTTTAAAAAAAAATACATAGAATACAAAAATTTATTAAAAAGAAATTTTTTATATTTTTTCTTTGAAATTTAAAAATTTGTCTTATATTTAAAATTGATATAGTTTTACAAAGTTATATACCTTGAAATAATCACCATTTTATTAAACTTTTAAATTAAACTTAAAGGTTAAGTTTTCATAAAGTCTGAATAAATGATTATTTAATTAACTTTCAATATACCTAGTATTTTGCAATATACACAGTATTATGTTGTATCGTATACATTATATTGCACATATTAACGTAGTTCATCTAGATTTAAAAGTTTCAGTTTCTTTCCCGACCAAAAGTTGTAACTTTTTGAGAGTTAAACTAATTCGTAAATTTGTGCTGCACAAAGTGTCCTTCATTGCTAATCTCGAACATGGAGTATCTTCTTTCGTTTGGTTTGTTAGTTAACATCACTGAGACTGAGTCAAGTAAATACGCTTAGCTGTTGCTAAGATTAAAACCTGACTAAAATCAAAGTTGCTAACGTGTGGTTTATTGCAACAAATTTGGATGAAATTGATGTAACCAAACAGAGTAAAAAATAACAACTATACAAGTAAAACCAACAAAGTCCTTTTTGGCTTGTATCTGCAACAGCTCAAACCTTAAGTACGTAATACAATCATGAATACCGTAGATGTTACCAAAAGAATATTTAAGTAAATAATCAGCTCAGTGCTTAAGTGAAATTCTTTGCCATTGTAATTACATGATTCTGTTTATTTTCTACCAAAAAGTAAAATAATTAATACTACTTGTTAGTCTTTAATACGTGTATTTTAAAGAAACACTCCATCCAATGATGAGGAACATAAAAGGTTGCATGAGTTTGCCTTAAAATATTAAATTTTAATTATGAAGCAAGAAGCAAAAGGAGGCCAACAGTGAATGGAGTACAAAGATACAAAGCCCTTTTAAGTGTAGTTTTGAATTGATATTTCCTTAAAATGAAGCCATAAGATAAATTGCTTTTGTTAAGTAAAATTTTAGTGTACTTTAAAATTGTTGGTAATGTGGACTTGTAAGGAATTTTCTTAATTACCTTTTCCATTAATAAACTCAAACTATATTATTACGCGTTGAGTTGCTTAAAAGATTTGACTTGAGTACGATAATTTATGATAATATTAATTGTAAGTAATTCATGGTGACGCATAGCAGTTAATACTAATAAATTTCTAGGACAATATTTTCATCAAAAATTAAAAAGCTTTAATTTTTATAGAAGAATTAACACTTTAGAAATAGTGGCAACAATATCTGACGACAAAAAATATATAGAAATATGAAAAAACTGTTTGCGGTCCTTCATTACGCATAGATAGTTTCTTAAATAACATTAACACATCAGTCAATAATACGGGTCACAATCATTCCAACGCTTCTCTGACTTTTCGATGCCGTGCTTGTAAAAGATTTGTCTTTTATCTCAAAATAGGATTTAGTTGTAGCAATTACTTCTTCATTTGAGATAAATTTCTTACCGGCGAGCATTTTTTTGAGAGCAGCGAATAGCCAGTAGTCGCTGGGGGCCAGATCTGAACTATACGGTGGATGACGAAGCAATTCGAAGTGTAATTCGTGAAATTTTGCCATCGTTTTTATTGATTAATTAAATTTTGCATTGCCTTGGTGAAACAAAATTTTTTTCTTCGCCACATGCGGTCGTTTTTTCACAATTTCTGCTTTCAAACGATCCAGTAATGCCATGTAGTAGTTACTATTGATGGTCGAAATGTTTTCTCTTTTCGATATAGTCAATGAAGATTATACCATGTGCATCCCAAAATATTGAAGCCATAACCATCCCAGCTGACTGTTGTGCCTTTGGACGCTTCGGACGTGATTCACTGGCTGCAATCCATTCAGATGATCATCGTTTTCATTCCGGAGTGAAGTTATGGATCCATGTTTCATCCATTGTCACATATCGATGCAAAAATCTGATTTATTACGGTATGATTTTGTTTTTTGTTCTAAAACACAGTAA